CAAAGCAAGTATCAATAAGAGAATCAGCCCTCACCAGATCAAGAGCGTTAGCATCAACGGATGATCAAAAGACGGTGGGATGCTACTCTACATGCTCATCACCAGGGACAATCTCGAGGTCGTGACCGAGTATCCCTCCTATCTTGGCGAGTATGGCTATACTGAATGGCTGGAGATCCTACAAGCCATTCAGCACTCAAAGTCCAGACATAGAACGATTATCGAAGACCTTATCAACGAGTTGATCAAGAAGGTATCCAGATATGTCGCAATCCCTAAAGTGCCTATGCTGAAGAAAGGAGGAAGAAGAAAAAGACCTTCAAGCCCTAATGATGGACCATCCCTGAGGAATGAACATGAAACAAAGTTCTCCTTAGATGAAGTCATGAAGGCTTCGAAGAAGCCAGACATCTCTACGTTGAATCTCTCATTGCCAGCGAAGGGTCCATATATACCCAACACTGTGCATATGAAGCCTGAATTAGGATTTATTTTCCTTTACTATGATGGCGAAGTCAGCTTTCAAAGAATGTCTGAGTTGTATCTCTGCCCAATGGAACATCTTGCATACATCCGTTATTGGCTAAACAATGACATATATGGTGTAACGATGGACATCAGGATCAGAAATGAATTTCGACGTCGAAAGGAGCTCGGAGAAGATATACCTGGTTACTTTAATCTGAACAACTTAGAATAGTTATTTCTTTTGTATTTCGTTCTTTCACTATATAAACTATTTACTATGTCTGCTTTCAGTGATTATTCTTATATTTTGTAAGTCTAGACATGTATTGAAACACTTGTAATATTTCCATTGATTTTAATATAATTGTTTTTGTGCATCGTTGAAAAAGATCCCTGAAAAGAGTAATAGGGACACAAGTTTATGAGTTCTTGTGTTACTTTTACTTTCACTGGCAATCTATAAGTCAGTGAATATGCTTTCAGTTTTAGTTTCTCTTCTTTTAAATTTTTCTTAAACTTAAACTTAAGAAAAATTTCTAAGTAAAGACTGACTCACTGAAAAAGATCCCAAAACAGTTAAAAGGGACATGTATATTATATGTAACTTTTATTTACTGTTATTTAATAACGCAACTTTCTTTATGTTGCTTTGTTATCATCAAATAGAGGGAGATTGTTGATCCTCCCTCTCAGTGATTTGATGATAATCTCTTTTACCATGTACGAAATATTTATGTTTCTGTCTTTCAGTTCCAGCTATCATCACTTCATCTGTTCAGTGATCGCTGAGAACATGTAATGTAAATCCATCAGGGACAGCAATACTTCAAGAAGACAAAACTCAGACCAAAGAACCTTCAGCGAAAGTCTAAGACTGAAACTAAAGAATAGAGAAAGCGAGTTCGTGATCTGAAGCGATATTCAATTATTACAACCTGGTTTACACATGTGTGAAAACTACCAAAGCCTCAGCGAATGCTGAAGAGATCTTCAGGTTATTCCCGCATTCAGCGATCAAAAGAAGCTTGTTGAGCATGATTGCTTTTGTCTTGTCCTTACACACACAAAGGACAAACTCATACCCTTTCTAGAAGCATAGTATGGTACGGAGCCTATTAGTTGACTCTACTACCCATCAACTTTATGAAAGGATGTCTGCTCATGAAAAGGCTTTTGTACTATTCATTGTAGCAAAGGACAATTCTTTCTCTAAAGACTTGACGCGTGTTCAAACCCTACTGCATTGCATTAAATGTCCATTTAATGCAATGGTTATAAATAGATGTGTTCTATCTCCATGTAGAGATACTCATACTTACTCTTAAACCCTAACTTATGTTCATAAGTAAAAGAACACACATCTAATAACACAATACACTTATCTTCAAAAGCAAGTTAGAATCCCTTTTAATATTCTAAATAGTTCTTACCCAGAAAGAACTTACTTTGTTCAAAGTCTTAAACAGCAAATCATTTCTCTTTGTTAAAAACTAGTGTGTAACTTAGACTGTTTAGATAGGTTATCTTTACCTTATCTTTCGGCAAACAATCTTGTAAAATATGTATTGATTCTTCTTTATCAATATATATTTTAAATTTGAAAAGTTTATTGTGTCTGTTTGTATTCATCACCCCCCCCCCCCTTCTACAAATTGTTATACACATCTTGTAGACCCTAACGGGACCAACATTATTAACCAATTAACAAATTATCATAGWAACTAACATTTTTATTACTCATAATAGGGGAAATATAATAAAGATGAGGATGTATGATTCGACACGATTCAGTTTTATGGAGATAGCTCGTGCAATTGTATATAATTCTATAATCTATGCATCTTGAGTTATACTCATCCATTTGCCTACTCATGCAACTCAAAGTACATAACAAGTTGCTTTTATTTTTAAATATTCTATTTTATTATTTACATATTCTATTTTATTAAAAACTTATATTCAATTATTTTCAGAGAATTTTTTGAGTTCTACGGAGTTAACAACAATCGTGTTCGAACCACACATGCCAGAAGCAGATGCCGTTAGAACATTGATGACATAAACATATATGATTAGTGTTATAATTATCATGTATTATTGGTCTTTTTTCGGATTTGGGAACTTATATGTATTTTTATATGTATTATTATGTTGGTTTAAGTTTAATCGTTGTCTCTTCATTTTCTGTTAATGATATATTTTGAATTATTAATTAAAACGACTAAGAAAATTATTAGCTACACAATAAAGAATGAGTGATATGTTTGATGAAAATTTGTATCTATTAAACTTTTATTCAAGACAACCAAGGTAAAAAAACAAGGATGACAAGTTATTTTTTGTTTAATCTCAAAATTTCTTACCCTAACTTTGTTCATTCCAATTCCAACCTTTACACTTTATTTCACAGATAAAACCATGTTTTTCCTATTTTTATCATTTTACAGTTTCCAATGAGGATGGGTGATGATATAATTGCAAATAATGATGTAACGCAAGTTGATGTAGATATAGCAAAAGGTATATGAAAAACCCGCTTTAATTATTATCATCGTGATATATTCACTCAATTGTATATATATTTATATAAAACAATATTGTTATAAAAAAAGAAAGGAATACAACAGACATATTATGAACGACAAAAAGAAAAGAACAAAATGAGATATGACCCTGTTGGAGATGTCGCACGTCAATGAAACAACCCCTCTCAGTTTAGTGACTATTGTTGAGAAGGAAAAAAATTGTTAACAAAAATTATTATCGAACATGCATAGAAGGAACGACTCCAATATATTCATATTTGACACATCAAAACTTCAAGGGTAAAACCATGCATTTCCTTTTTTTTAATTCTTTTATCAATTTTAGTAATTAAAATCTCATTTAAATTAAATTATCTTTCTTACATAGGCATTCGAAGTAAGCATGGTATACTTCTACCTCTTTTTTATGAAGTTACTAATGAAGCATTTAGAGGTTAGTTAGAGTGACTTTTAAACTTCACATCATCTAGAGAAAAAATCATTAATTACTATTGTAAACACTGAAATGTCTTATCATGTAAGAGGTTGTATTAGGGCCGATGTCAATACTTCGAGCCAACATGACATCCTCCCGGGGAATCTGTATGATTTTGTTTACAATGGTATTCCTAGAAAACATCGTGTCTTGAAGGAACAAAATCCATGTGAATTTTGTGGAGCAAAACGGTTTAAATTTGAATTCCCTTCCTTTTATTGCATGAAAGGGAAGACAAAGTTAGCATACTCACTCATTCCTGAGGAGTTATACAGTCTTTTCTCATCGCAATACGAATTAGGCGAAATGTTTAGGCACAACTTATGTGCATACAATACGAACTTTTCGTTCACGTTAATTGGTGTAAACTTGGATAGTTCAATGGCAAACATGACATCCGGAGTATATACATTTCGTGCGCACGGAGCTGTATATCATAAAATCGATCAGTTAGTACCGAGGGATGGACAACCTAGGTACTTACAGTTGTACTTTTATGATTCAGAAACAAAGTTATCGCATAGACTCTAGTGGCCAAATCTTGATAGAAATGTCGTTGAAGTTTTGACTCGTGTTCTTTCTAWGAACCCATATGTGAGAACATTTCGAAGCCTTGGTGAGCTCGAACCACTCGATAGCTACAAAGTCACTTTGAATGCTTCAGTGGAACTTGACCAAAGGGTGTACAACCGACCAACCACATCAAAGGTTTGAATACAAGTATTTGGTTTATCCTTTTTTGAAATAAAATTAGATATATACACTAAATAAATTGAGTTCTATAATTATGTTAGGTTGCTGGTATTTGGTTGAAGGCAGCGACAACATAACTGCATACAAGAGAAGTATTGTTGTGTATGGGAGGTCTAATTATAGCCAAAATATTCAATATTACTTCAGTTGTTATGACCCGTTGTCCTATCCTTTGTTTTTTCCCAACGGTGAACCTGGATGGCATTCTAATATACCTAGACATGGAGTGTGCATGAATCAAAGTGTTAATGATAATGAAAACATGGAGGAAGATTTAGAAGGTACGGACCATGTTGCAATATTTACGTTTTAATTAAGGTAACAAATATATGCTTAAACATACATGTCATCAGTTTATATTTATTTCATAAAATACACATTACGCAGAGGTTGGTGTGCGAGAGAACAAGAATACTGTGACGATGCGGGGTTACTATTATTATAAGTTCCAGATTCGTTCGAACGAGAATGTGCTTCTATTAGGGGGAAGGTTGTCACAATAGTTTGTGGTAGATATCTACATAAAGATTGAGACTTCACGTTTGGATTTTTGTTAGAAAAACCAAGCCAAAATAAGAGCAGATTTATACCAAGGTGTTGTGGATTGCGTCAATGCCGGTGAGGTGATGTCAAACATAATCGGACAACGGGTTGTGTTGCCTGCAAGTTTCATCGGAGGACCACGTGACATGCGGTGACGATTTCTTGTTGCCATGACTTTAGTGCAAGATGATGGGAAGCCCAATATATTCCTTACAATGACGTGCAATTCAAAGTGGCCTGAAATCCTTAGAGAGCTGTTGCCGAGTCGAACCGCACCCGATCGGCCAGACCTTGTTGCAAGAGTTTTTTGTGCGAAACTAGAGGATATGAAAGACCATATCTTCAAAAAGCACATCCTCTGTAAATTTGGGGCATATGTTTATGTCATCGAGTTTCAGAAGCGTGGTTTGCCGCATGCCCATTTTCTTCTGATAATGACACCCGAACACAAAATGACCAATCTAGATCATTACGACAAGAATGTATGTGCTGAAATTCCGGACCCAAACCGATATCCCCAAATGCACGAACTGGTCGTCCAACACATGATGCATGGTCCTTGCGGTCATTTACGACCGTCCAGTCCTTGTATGCAAAGTAAGCCAAAAAAATGTCGTTTCAGATATCCTAAACAGTTCAACGACAAGACGATGCAGGCTGAGGACTCATATTCATTATATCAACAGAGAAATAGTGGAATAAATATGAATGTACGAGGCAACATCCTGGATAATAGATGGGTGGTCCTGTATAACTCGAAGCTGTTAATGATGTTCAACTATCATATCAATGTTGAGGCTTGCTCGAGTATAACATCTGTGAAGTATGTCTTCAAGTATGTTTACAAGGGTCACGACAAACAAGTTGTTCAAATCGATTCAGAGGAAGAAAGGGTCGTTATTAACGAAATTAGAAGGTTCCAAGATGCATGTTATGTCTCCCCTCCCGAGGCGATATGGCGGATTTTTAGCTTCATACTTTCTCAAATGCACCCTTACATGATGGTGTTGCAACTCCATCTCCCTAACAAACAGATGGTTAGGATTAGAGATGACGATATAATGATAGATATTGTCGATAGAGAGAGAGAGAGATAAGCGAACGATGTTGACTGCATTTTTTGATAGGAATAGAACATACATGAGTGCGAGAAAATATTTGTACAAAGACTTTCCAAAACACTACACTTGGAATTGAAGCACACGTCTATGGAATCCCTGACAAAGAGGATCAATGAAAGGCCGACTTGTGCCTGCAAATCCAGCGGAAGGAGAACGGTTCTACCTACGCCTACTTTTATCATATATTACTGGTCCTACTTGCTTTGAAGATCTGTACAGTTTCAACGGCTTATTGCACCCTACATTTCGCAAAGCATCTTTTGAGATAGGTTTATAGAGAACGATGACAACTTATCCCAATGCCTTGGAGAGGCCTCCTTATTTCAATTTTCGGTTGCTCTTAGGAGGTTATTTGCCACGATGTTGATTTATTGTGAGCCAGGAGATGTTCTCAAGTTATGGGATGGCCACTATGATTCACTTTCTGAAGATTATACGTAACAATGTGAAAGTGCAAATCGAGTCCGTAATATGGTTCTAACTGATATCCTCGTTTTTCTACAGTCTATGGGTAAGAGTCTTAATGATTTAGATCTTCCAATGGTAGATGCAAATGCCAATTTTCAATCTGGAGAATTTTGTGAGGTACAAGAAGAATGCTCTATAGTTGTGGAGGACGAACACTTGCGTCCCCTAGACTCTCTCAATTCCAACCAGAAATACGCATATGATGAGATCATGAGGCACATAGACGAGGATTGTCCAGGAGTGTTCTTTATAGATGGTCCGCGTGGAACCGTGAACATATTTTTGTAGAAAGCTTTGCTTTCCAACATCCGTTCACGTGGTCTTATTACTCTCACAAACGCTTCATCGGGTGTTGCTGCCAATAACATGCCTGGAGGGAGAACAACTCACTCTAGATTCAAAACTCCTCTCAACCTTGATAATAACTCAATGTACAACATAAAAAAACAAAGTGGGGCTGCTCAATTGATTCGAGATGCAAAAATAATCATCTAGGACGAAGAGTCGATGGCAAAGAGGCAAGCGATGGAGGCGCTGGATCGAACAATGCAAGACATCATAGGGGTGGCACTCTCATCCGGCGGAAAGATAATGGTTTTGGGGGGTGATTTTAGACAAGTATTACCGGTCGTGAGACGTGGAACCCGAGCACAGATTGTAAATTATAGCTTACGGATGTCACCTCTTTAGTCAACGATTAAAAAGATACGGTTAACGCTCAATATGAGAGCACGCACTGATAAGTGGTTTTCAAAATTTTTATTAAGAGCCGGTGATAGAGATGAAGAAGCGGTGGATGAAAGCTTTATTCGCATACCGGATGACATGACCATTCCTTATACTGATAAAGGTAAGTCAAAAGATCCGTTGATTGACGCAATCTTTCCATCTCTGCAAATCAACGAAGCTTATTCGAATTATATCATTTCGAGGGCGATATTGTCAACTAAAAATGAGAATGTCCATGAGATTAATGATCAGTTGATCGACAAGTTTTTGAAGATGAAAAATATACTACAGCTTCGGCGAAGCAGAAGATGATAAGAACAACATCTATCTGATGGAGTTCTTAAACTCTTTAACTGTTAGTGGTTTGCCTCCTCATTACCTTCGTCTCAAGATTGGATGCCCAATAATAGTGTTACGAAATATCGATCCCTCAAATGGATTGTGTAATGGCAGTAGATTGATATGCAGAGGCTTTCAACAAAACGTCATCGATGCGGAAATAGTTGTTGGTCAGCATGCTGGAAAGAGAGTATTTCTGCAAAGAATTCCCTTATGTTCGTCCGAAGACAACATGTTCCCATATAAGCTGAAGAGAAAATTGTTTCCAATTCGGCTTAGCTTTTCTATGACGATCAATAAAGCTCAAGGCCAAACAATTCTGAATGTAGGTGTTTATCTACCAGAATCAGTTTTCTCACACGGGCAACTTTACGTGGCGTTGTCCAGAGGGATACCACAGGGCAATATGAAGGTGTTAGTGAAGTCTGTTAAGAAGTTTTATGATGAATAAGGTATAATCAACAATTATATTATTACACATTTGGTACCATATGTTTCTATTAAAACCATTGCGCCATTTTTTGCAGGAAATATTTACGGATGAGTGCATCACGGAAAACAAACAACAGTTTGGATATACGGATGAACATTATTTACAAACAATTGTATTTCTTTGTTCAGTCACAAATTTCAAGTTTTGTAATGAGCTCTGAGTACATGGGTTCAGAAACCCGACATGTGTGCAATTTTTTTTCATTCAATCTTGCTAATACATCGTATTAACCTTCAACTTTATATATTAGTTAACTTATAAAATAACCACACAAACTCATGATTCAAGACCAAACCATTTTTTCATGATTGTGATTTACCTGCGCTGCATCGTACGGATACACAACTAGTGTGTGTGTGTGTGTATATATATATATATATATATATATATATGTATGTATGTATATGTGTGTCTTTCGCTTTACTAAGATCATCTCAAGAAGGTAGTCTATAATTTTTTTAAGTAAAGTACTAAAGTCAAAATTTATAAAAGGAATTGCATCCAAGATTCAGAATGTCCAAAAACTATTTTATTTTAAAGATTACAACATTTATTATATTATTAATGATTCAATATATTTATAAAAAATATTAAATTTATCTCCTAAATATTAGTTTTCAATGTCTCAAATTTGTGGGGAAAAAAGTTAAATAGTGAGTTTTTAGAAAAAAATTAAAATTTAAATTTAAATATTTTTTCACCCTCTTATTCTTCTCTTTTCTTTAATTTGATATAAATTATAATATAGCTATCGGAATAAAAATGTGTTCAAAATCTATGTTTGAATATAATTATATAAAGTTTGTTTGTTTGAAAGAACATATTTGAAAATTGAGAAGTTATGGAAGCTTCTATTTTTACTATTAATAATTAAGAAGAGAGTTCAAAGTGAAATCCTCTTCTTAAGAAACGTAAATATTCCATTTTCCAAGATAAAAATAATTATAATAATACTGCTGTTGCTTTTTGAACATAAAAATTTAACAATTCATCATCATGGTCAACGTTCAAATTCGATACAAAAAATTTCCAATCGATCATTCTAAAGGATGCTGTTTACAAAAGAATTCAAGACGATACTATTCAAATTCTATACAATCCTATATATAATTATATATTTGGATAAAAAGTTGATCACCGACCATTTTAACCCGTTACATACGGAACCGGTTGAAATTATAAGAGATTATTTTTTTGACTCATTTGGTGACTTTTGCTAGGAAAGAGGGAATTGAACCCAAAACCTGTCTTATATTCGGACGAAGTCGTTTCGACAGTTTACTGACTGAGCTACACGATGGGGAAATAATTTTTTTTTCGTTTCTAGTAATCACAATTGATTGTTTTCATTTATTTTTTAGATGGGTTTTTTTTTACATTTATGATTTATTTTTAACGAATAAAGTATCTTTGATTTGAGTTTTATCTTTTATATTGTTTAATGAATTATAAGATGTATTAAGGAAATAAAAGTATTTATAAAAACTACAAAAATGTTATAGAATAATTGAAAGAAAAAAACGATAGAATCGAGAGAATGAAATAACACTTTCGGTTAAGAAAAGAGCACAACATACCAATATTACATACATATGGTAGACTCCCCCATTGTATCTACTACCCCCCTGATTCGTGCATTAATCTAGGGAGTTTGGAAAACATTTGCATTTTAATAATTTTTACATTTCCAAATATGGTTTTAGGTAATGATTTGGTAAGAAAATATGTCACATTCTGTTATGATTGAATTTTAGAATTGTATTCATCTTTAAAGATAAATAATTGTATTTTAGTTAGTTTGACTTTGTTTGTAATGTTGACTTTGCCTAGAGGGTTTAATGTTTGACCCTATAAATATTTTGTCTTCTAGTGAATTAATGTAAGGAGCTTATTGTAAATCATACGTACATTGAGAGTAAATAGAAGTGTTGACTATTTGACATTTTCTCTCTACTCCTTCTATTGTGTTCTTAGTGTTCATATGAGTTTGTCATTAATTCTTGATGAATATTGAAGATTGATCGTATTGTGGGACTCACAATTGGTATCAGACCAAGAATGCAGTGAAATCAAGTGAAGAAATCACAAATTTGAAGAAATTTTCTGGAAATTCCGTCTGTTCATCTTGTGTTCATAAGTGTTCTTCAATTTTTCAAGACTTTGATTCGAAAAAATTTCAAATTTTCGTGTTTTAATGTTAAAATCATGATTAGTGTGTGCGTAATTGTTTAGTGAATCTTTGTTATTCACAGAGTTTTATGATTTGATTGATCGTTTTCAAGATTTGCTCAAATTAGTGATTCTAAAAAGTTTTTGGTGTTTTTGAAAAAGTTGTCAAAAAATCAGATTTTGATCCATTTTTGAGTGAAAAAGATGGTGTTTTTGTGTCTTTGATGAGTCTAAATCGTTCATAGACTTAGCCGGATTGGAAGATTGTCAATTTTAGGCACAAAATCACTCAAGGATTAGACTTACATCGTACAAGGCATACCCAGATTTTAGGACTTAGTATATTTTTTATGGCTAAATTGCTCAAGGCATGACTGAATTACACTTCAAATCGCACAAGGTTTCATCAATATTCTAAGCAACTCGGTCATAGTTCCATCCGATTTTGAGCTACATCGCACAAAGGTGTAACTGTATTCAAGGAATATTGCTTATAGACTTGACAGCATTCAAGTTAACTCGCACATAGGCTTGGGCGGATTAGGCACTCCTCAGATAATCTTGTTTGAGCTTAGCTCTCCTCGCACAAACAATTGGTCGCGACTCATTTTTCTCGCATCCTAACTCGCTCACCGCCTTGTCCGGATTTGGCTTAATCGCTCACTTGCCTTGTCCGGGTTCAACACTTAGTCACAACTTAACGTCCTCGCATCATCTCCGGATACAAGCTCATCCGGATTAGGTTATCGGTCAAAGACTTGGTCACGATTTTACCTTTCTCACATTCAAACTCGGACACAACCTTGTCCAGATTGCTTGCTTCCTCGGCCAACATCGCCCAATCCCGTGTCCGGATTAGATTTCCTTGGCCAACGACCTAAGTTTCTTGTGCATCCCCGTATCCGGACTTGCCTTGACCTCGGACAACCCCGTGCACCTGCTTCATCCAATTTGGCTAACCCCTTTTACCCTTGTGTCCGATTTAACGTCTTCACTTAGCCAATTTTCTACATCTCATCCGATTTTGAGCATCATTAATCAAAATTTGATATTTTTCAAAACACATTTTTATCCAGATTTCATTTTATCATTTTTTTATCTGGTTTTCACCGATTTTATCCGTTTTCATCAAAATTACTGAATTTTGAGAAATTTAATTGTTTTGAGCTGTTTTGTGTTGTGTGAACTGTTTTGAACAGTTTTAACAGTTTTTTTAATAGTTTTTTACTGTTTTAACTGATTTTTGACTGTTTTTATAGATTTTTTTATATTTGAACAGTTTTTTAGTTTTTCTCATAATTTTTTAGTCTAGTGATTTTATCTGAAGGATATTTTTTTTAAATGTGATTTTTGTGTCTGATTTCGTATACTGCATAGATTCGTTGATCAATCATGAATTTTAAATGGCATCCTTCTTTGAGAGAGAGAATAAAGAATTGAAAATTAAAGTTTCTGATTTAGAAAAGAGTGTAAAAGACTATAAAGACAAATATATTAACATGTTCTATGATCATGCAAAACGAAGAATTTGTTAAAAATTTACGACGAGAGCATAAAG